GTTTTTCCCTTTCCTAGAGGCACGATCGTGACTTTCACGAAAGCACAACCGTGCCTCTCGCGGAAGCAAAACCGTGACTCTCACGAAAGAAAAAAAAATAGAAAATGCGTTTTGTTTTTCCCTTTTCCGAGAGGCACGGCCGTGACTCTCGCAAAATCACAAACGTGCCTCTCGCGGAAGCAAAACCGTGACTCTCAAGAAAGAAAAAAAAAACAGAAAACGTGTTTTTTTTCATTTCCGAAAGGTACGACCGTGACTCTCGCTAAAGCACAACTGTGCCTCTCGCGGAAAAAAAAACCATGACTTTCACGAAAGGAAAATAAAAGAAAATGTGTCTCTTTCGTGCAAAAAAAATTATTTTTCAAAAAAAATTGATCGAAAAGCTAAAAAAGACCGGAGGAAAACCAAAACGTCGAAAACCGCCAAAAAAAATCGTTTAAAAAGCCAAAAACGCGTGCGGAAAAAAAATCCGAAGGAAACGTCCATAGCGCGACACGTGGCAAATGGCAGAGAACGCGCCAAGTGACGCTAATCGTTGCGAGGCTTCCGAAGAAGTGCTCGTTAACTAGTTGCTCACCGGAACAACTGGCCTTTAGCAGCAGCGAGAAGGCACTATATTGGTCGCAATTATACCTGGCCATGGGCAGCCCGGCCCGGTCGGCCCGACCCGACCCGGGCCGGCCCGACCCGACCCGGCCCGGCCCGACCTTGTCCATGGGCCGGGCTTGGGCCTAGGTTTTGAGCCCGAAGCCCGGGCCAGGCCAGGCCCGAGCCCATCGATTTCACCATTTAAGGAAGAGGCCCGGCTCGTGGTCCGAGGCCCGACGGGCTTTTAGTGTTATGGGTCAGGCTCGGGCCCGATTTTTAGGCCCGGCGGCCGGACCGGGTCGAGCTCGGACCTGGGTTTTTTGCGTCGGGTTTTGGTTAGCCCGGCCTGGCCCGATGAATGGCCAGGTATAGTCTCAATCCTCGCGCGTGTGCGACAACAAAATTCTCATAAGCATGAGGCCGTGAGAGCTATGTCTTGTTTAAAGCGAGACAATAGTTGCTCTCGCCTGAAGGGATTTCGCTCTTGCATATGAATCGGCCCGGCTCATTTTATTCTCCTCGCTCGCTCGCTCGGATTGATCGCTCCTGCACTGGTTTGGTTAGTTTCGTTTCGTTTTTTATTTTTATTTTTCTTTTGTTTTTGTTACGGTTTCTGTGATTTTTTATTTATTTTTACACTGTTTTACCGATTTTCTTTGATTCTTCATGGTTTTTGTTTAGTTTGTTTTTTCATCAATTTTCTTCATCTGTTTCTTGGTTTCCATTGAGTGTTTTTTTCTTTGTTTGTTTCTTCGAACAAAATGTTTCTTTATCGCTTCCCTTTGGTTTTTCTTGTTCTTTGTTTACCTTTTTGCATTGAGTTTCTCCAATTTTCTTGTTTTCTTTTTTATT